CCAATCTGATGAAATGCAAGGAATTAGTTCAGCATTTTGGTATTTACTATGATTTGCTTTGTGGCCTAAAATACGATCTTTTGGAGGAAGTTCCATGAGTAGCTGAAAAGAAAGCATATTCAGCTATTGTTGTATAAAATATTCTGTAGATATCTGTTAAGCACACTTGACTTATAGTGTGAATTAACTCTGTAGTATTTTTGTTGATTTTATGTCTGGATGACCTATCAGTGAGAGAAGTGTATTGGAATCACCTAGTATAATTTTATTAGGGCCTATTTGAGCTTTTAAGTTGAGTAGTGTTTGTGTTACGTAGTTAGGTGCACTGAGATTTGGGGCATACATATTTAATATTGTTGTTTCTTCTTGTTGGATTTTTCCCTTTACCAATATGTAGTGACCTTCTTTGTCTCTTCTAACTAATTTTGGCTTGGAGTCTGCTTTGTTGGACATGAGAGGAGCTACTCTGCTTGCTTTTGAATTCTGCTTGCGTGGAATATCATTTTTCCATCTTTTCATTTTCAGCCTGTGGATGTTTTTACATATGAGGTGTTTCTTTCAGGCAGAATTTTATATATTTCTTTCTTATATATTTGGGGTCTTTTTAAAAAAAATCTAATTTGCCTCTTTTAACTGGAGAACTGGAACCATTTATATTCAGTGTTATTATAGAGAGGCATATATTACTTCCTGTCATTTTGATTTATTTCTAATGTTTGCTTCAATACTGATTCTCATTTGCTTGTCTACTCTTCTAATGAGATTTATTCTTTCCAGAGCTCTCTTAGTTGTTTTATCCTCTTCTCTGTATAGGATCCCTTTAAATATCTTCTGCAATGCTGGATTAGTAGTCATGAATTCCTTTAGTTTATGCTTATCCTCAAAGGTTTTTATTTCTTCTTCAATGTGGAAGTAAGTATAGCTTCTCTGTATATAGCAATATCGATTGGCAGCTATTTTCTTTCAAGGCTTAAAATGTGTCATTTCAAGCACTCCTGGACTTTAGGGTTTCTGATGATTGGTTTTCCATTAAAGATGACCTGGTGTCTTTCTCTTATCTCTTAATTTTTTTCTTTGATCTGGATTTTTTTTTTTTTTTGCATTTTAATATGTCGTGGAGGGGTTCTTTTCTGGTCTTGTCTATTTGGGGTTCTAAATGTCTCTAGCATATGGGTGTACTTCCTGTTCCCAAGGTTTGAAACATCTTCTGCTATTATTTCACTGATAGGCTATCCATACCATTAGCTTATGTCTCCGCTCCTTCTTTGATGCTATGAGACTTAAATTTGGTGTCTTAATGTCCAAGAGTTCTTTTCTATTCTGATCATAGTATCTTATTTTTTCTTTAACTACTATCTGAATGTTCAAGTCCATCCACTTTGTTTTCAAGCTCTGAGATTCCGTCTTGTACTTGGTTTAATCTCTTTTGAGAGATTTTCAGCCAAGTTTTTTTTCCCCCCTCACTACTAGGAACTGAATCCAGGGGTGATTTATCACTGAGTAACATCATCAACCCTTTTTATTTTTTATTTTGAGACAGGGTCTCACTAAGTTGCTGAGGCTGCCCTTGAACTTGTGATCTTCTTGCCTCAGCCTATCAAGTTAATTGGATTACAGGCAAGTGCCACTAAACCCAGCTTCAATAGAGTTTTTTTATTTGACTTTTTGTGCCTTTACCTTCTAAGATTTCTGTTTGTTTGTTTTTTTCCAGAATCTTGATCTCTTTATTAAAATGCTCTTTCATATCATATATTTTCCCTTAGTTCATTCCTTATATCTTTTTAAAATTTATTGATTATCTTAACAGCTAAATTTTTAAAATTTTTGCCCAGCATTTCATTCACTTGAATACCTATAGATAGAGTTGTTGAGGGATTATAAATTTTTGGAGCATCTTTTTGCCTTGCTTCCTCATATTTTCAGAGTGTCTATGTTTTTCTGCATCTGTTGTGATGAGTTTCTTTTCTTATATTATGTGAGGTCTTTTAGAAAGTAGCTATCTCTTTAATATACGTCCTGCACTGGAATATCTTAGCATCAAAACATCCAGGTAGCATAATCGAAATATTAAGTTCAATCATCAGCTCTGCTTTGAGAGGAGAGAATAACTGCTAGTAACAGTGATAACTAATAATGAAACATAATTAATTAAAATGCACAAGATTAGAAAGAACTATAAAAAATAAATAATGAGGGAAAACACAACAAAATACTTTATGTAAAACAGCTAATGCAACAACCATCATAAAAAGATTCAGTTTTCTTTTTGCCAAGGCATTTCAAATAGCAACCCTTTTTTCCTAGGCTTCAATTTTAGGATCCCCTGGCTTTGAAGAGGTTTGTGGGACACAATTATTGTATTGTTTGTCTTTTTTCAGCTCTGACCCCAAACAGGCAAACTTACTGGGGGAATCGGTAAGCTGAGCTCTGCCCCTCCTTGCCTGCAAGTCTTGGGGGAGCTTTATTTGTTTCAGAGCAGAATTCATCCTCAGCATCACTGTGCTTTTTAGATCTGGGGTGGGAGTGTTATTCTGGTGGGAGCTGCCGTCCATCTGTCTGGCCCAGATAGCTTGTTGACTGATCCAGATTACACCACACCTCTCCTTCTGAAAGCCTCAATCCATGTGCCATGGGAAGTATGTGGGAAGTGCCCAGGTCATGTCTGAAAATCCTTGAGACAGTTTGGGTATGGGGGAGGTGACAGGGCCTGCAAAAGAATTCTGTGGGTAGCAGCTTTCCACCTGACCCAGAGCCGACCGGCTTCCACTCGAAGTCAACCTTGCTCCTTATCACAGTTTGAACCACCAATTTCAAAGGAAAACGCCCTTCACTTTTCTCTGCTCTGTAGACCTGCAGACTAGCAGCTGCAGCTCCTGTTGCTGCCCAGAGCTCCCCAAAAGTCCATGTGATAATCTCACTCTTGTGCCCAGATTGACTCATGACAAATCCAGTAAGAAATAAAGCATGGAAAGTTTAAACAATGACGCTTTTTAAGCTAGCACTGCTTTCTCACTTTTACTAAATCTGCTTGGAAGTACATGGTTTCTCTCCCATGCTGGGACATATCATTCCTGCTTTACGTTCTTACCTTCCAGACCCCTGACTTCTTTTCGGCTATGTTGTTCGGTTTATCTAATTTATCTATTCAATAATTACTTATTGAGTGCCTGCTATGTAGGACGCACTGACAATATAATAGTAAGTGAAGTTTTTTTTCCCCCCAGAACTTTTATCATCTAATGAAAAAGAGATATACTAAAAACAATTATTGGATTAAATATATGCTTAAAATAGTGAAATTTATAAATTATGTCCAAGTACTATGAAATAATTAGTGAGATATATGAAATCATGAAGAGACATGATTCAGATTGGTCAGCATCTATCAGGGTCTAAAAAAATGAGATTTTAGCTGGGAGTTTGTACATGAAGACGTTAGCTGATCAAATATCAGGGGTAAGAGCATTTGAGGGGGAGGAGGTAACAGCAGGTTCAGGGATCCCAAGGCAGGGAAGCTACTAGTGTATTTTCATGTAAAAATGATCATTGCAAAGGAAAAAAAAATATCCATTGTAGTGCAGTGTGAATGAGCCAGGAAGAAAGTGTCAGGAAATGGGGCTGAGAATTGGGCAGGCAGGTACCAGGGGGCATTGTAGGCCACGCCAGAACTTCAGATTTGTCCTCATGAACATGGGAGGCCATTGCAGGCTTCTAGCAGAAAAGCCATCTGCCATGTGGAAAGCAAATTGGAGGGAGGCAGGAGTGAAAACAAAGAAACCAGTCAGGAGGGCTTTTGGAGTGGTCCAGGTGAGGGATGACAGCTCCGACTAGAGTGACGATGGTGGAGATGACAATAAATGGCATGTTTGAGACATACTTTACAGAAGGAAATAATATGGCTTGTTGATGGATGCAGAAAGTGAGTCATGAAAGGCATTAACGATCCCTGCCAGTCTTTAGGATGAATAACTTAATGCAAAGTTACCACTACCAAAATGTGAAATGCAGGAGGAAAAGCAGGTTTGGGAGGGAGGATGGAGGATCCAGGTTTTGAGGAATGAAATTTGGGATGTCTGTAGGATATCCAAATAGAGACATAAAAATAGGAGGGTGAGTATATGTTCTGAAGTTCAAAAGAAGAGTCTGTGTTCAAGCAGAAATTTGAGAGTTCCTGCACACAGAGACTACTTAGAACCATTATTATAGTCTTCAGTTTTTTGTTTTTTTTAAACATAGGGCCAACCTTGTACTTGTTTATTTGACTTCTCTTTTTTTTTTTAATATTTGGGCCTGTTACTTTTGTTACACCTTTCAATATTCTATTTCGGTCATCCCAATTCCACCTTATTTTGTAGGTTTCTAATTACACTGTAATGACAGAGTATTTCAATAGAAAGAATCAGATTTTGACTTTTTGTGTGCCTTGGGCAAATCACTTAGTTCTCTGTGTATTAATTTACCAATAGTAAAGAAGGGAATTGGTTGTGTTTAGTTTTAAAAATCAATGATTCTGTAATACAAGAATATTGGCTAAGTTATGTCTAGATTTTAAATCCACAAGGGATGACTAGATAATTATCATTTGGAAGTTAACAAAGGCTTAGATTAGCTATTGCAGGATATTCTGAAGTTCACATAACAACCAGCAACTAATGGTTAAATTAAACACTATTGATGTAATTCCCAGAGTCTATTGCTGTAATTTAGAGCAGTATTTCTTCTGCACTTGTGAATACAGATTATAGGATAAACTAGAAAATTTGACATTTACTCATCAAAATAGCATCACCTTGAAATCTAAGACAAGCATGTTTCACTGAAAATTCTTATAGGTATGGTCACTCTTTAAGCAAAGTTAGGAATAATCCAAATATCATGGAGAGTCCTAGTAAATTAAATAGCTTGAATTATTGACCACAAGGCATAGGTAACAGCGTTTCCTTATATTATTCAAATTAAAGCTAGGCGAAGTGTCAACATTATCAGCAGTTTTTCCATACCTCAGTGACAGCGAAAGTTCTCTTGCCACAGGGAACCATCTTGTACCACTTGTCGTGTAGCACGTCCATAAACCCATGTGACTTATATTGGCTGATTAGCTCAGATATATTGGAGGTCAGTGGAGAGTTGGGTGGAAGACCAATGCCATATCCTAGGAGAAAATAATCTCACATAAGTTTTTCACATTGTTCTTGGGAGGAATAACTGTATAGATATTGCTATCAGATCTGACAATAAAGGAATGGTGGGTTTGCATGATCTTTCCTCCAAAGGACCCTAAGACATTCTTAATTATGATTACTTTTAGAACAGCCAAATCTCTGAATAGATGAGTTTGAAAAGGATAGGGATGGGCTGTGCACAGTTTTCTAGGAGAACACTTCAAAATAGTCCTTAGATGCAATCTTTGAGGTCATTACCAAGGCTAGGATTCCCTATTCACCTCTCCAGAATCCAGCCTCTGGATTTTAAGTAACAAAATTGGATTCATCATAATCTTTGGTTTATGACATTATCTTATTATTGTTAACACATGACAATTTTTTACTTTTATGATTCATTTTATTCTGTTTGTGGATAATATAATAAGATCATGTGGACATTTAATACAGTATGTAAAGTAAAATATCCAACAAGAAATTATAATGACTTCAATTATTAAAAAGTCTGGTAACACCAAGTGTTGGAGAAGATGTGGACCAGTCAGATCACTTATACACTGCTTATTGAAACACAAAGTGGTATGATCATTTTGAAGAACAGTTAGTTATTATTTTTTTGTGGTTGATCATTTATATACTTCAAGATCAGCAATTCTGCTCCTACGTATACTTTCAAAAACCTCTACAAGCATACCAGATGTGATCAAGAATGTTGTTAGAAGCACTATTTATAATAGCAAAAATTGAAACCAACACAAATGTCCAAATGTTCTTTGGCAAGAGAATAATTAAATAAATATTATAACAAACTGATTTGAATATTATACAATGTAAAATATTTGAACTAGAACTAGACACAATGATATGGATGCCTCAGCACTATGTTGTTAGGTGAAATGTGACAATCCCAAAAGATTACTTGGAATATGAATGCAAGATGTAGATGTAAAAACACTCAAAACAAGACAGTGTATTATTAGGAGTACATATGTATGTGATGAAGTTTTATTTATGTATTTATTAATTTATGGTACCTGGGATTGAACTTGGGGCACTTAACCACTGACCCACACCCCGCCCTATTTTGTATTTTATTTAGAGACAGGGTCTCACTGAGTTGTTTAGGGCCTTGCTAAGTTGTTGAGGCTGGTTTTGAACTAGCAATCCTCCTGCCTCAGCGTCCGGAGCTACTGGGATTACAGGCATGTGCCACCTTGTCTGGCTGAAGCCATATTTTTGAAAAAAAAATAAGAATATGATAAATTAAAGATCCAAGGTTGAAATTATATAAGGCACAGGAGCATAGGAGAAAGGGGGAAGGGATGAAGAGAGAGAGAGAGCACCAAGATGGATATGGTTTTATTAATCATCTTAGTCTCTATATTCTCATTCCATGTAGCTTTACTTCCTTTCCAAACTGTTCCTACACTGTTAATATCTTTGATGAGCCACGTGAAAGAGACTAATTAACTACATCTTTTTTTTTTAGCTGTTAGATAGCATGGTCAAAAAAAAAAGATTATTTTTGCCCTCAAGATAATTGAGGAAGATAAATTAAAAATGCAGTTAGTTCCTTTTTCACAGATAAAGACTAAAAGCCTGTCAAGAATCCAAAGATACTTAATGGAAACAAATATTTGCTATAATTATTCTATCTTAAAACTCAATGCCAAAAATATTAGCTTTTGTTCCTTTTTCAATGCAGCCATTCATTTTTAAGAACATGAGGCTTGAGATGTGTGTATAACCAATGAAAGAGTTGAAATAAATAATGCCAAACAATTTTTGAGTTTTAAAAAATTGCACATTTTTCCCCTGATAATTCCGTTTGTTCCTTAACAATAGGGAGTCAAGGAAATGATGACAATGTCAAAAACATGATTAGAATTTTCCATTCAAAGAGCTATTTTGGGTGCCTGTTTTGTGCCTATTAGTTTGGTTTGAAAGGAAAGACTGATGATAAAAGACTTTGGATGGGCAGCATTTTCTTCTGCTGATGTTATCATTAAATAACATTTTAAAAAATATAATGGGCAACTTTTTATAAGGAAGTTACCAGTTTTCTTTAGGAATCTCAGTTGCCCACTCATGTATTCAGTACTTGTTTACATGTCAGTTACAACATTAGATACATAGGCAATAAGATTCAACAATTCACTGACACACATTCGTCCATTCATCAAATATCTTATTGAGTAAATAGTAAAATCCTAAGTGTTCAGGATTTAGTAGAGAGAAAAGCAGACATGGTCTCTGTTGTCACAGACTGTCTTTGGGGAGACATTAAACAGTGCATCACATAGTGATTATTTTATTTCAATTGAGACAGATGCATTAAGGAGAAGAACTGGGGCAGGTAAGAACTATCTAATGGGAGTGGGTTGGTGGTCAGGATAATTAGTTTGGGTCAAATATGATGAATATTATTGTGTTTTCCCTTTAAAGCAATAGGTTTCAGCAACAACAATTTCTCATATTTACTGAGGGCTCACTATATCCCAAGTAAAATTCTTGGACAAACGTTTTGCATTCTCTACCCTATTTTGTGAATCATGTACTGGCCCAAGATTGTGTGCTAGATTGTGGCACTGTGTTCAGTTAAATCACTCTGGTATCTCAATAGTAAAAATTAGGACATTCTGAGCCTTCCTTTGTGCCAGACATTTCCCCAATGTATCCCTATGTGTACCCATGCCAGAGTACATACTACTCAGAGATTCAAAGATTGAATAAGTAACTGATAACATCATATAGCTAGTTTAGTTGGCAAAGTCAGTATTTGCAAAGAGATTTGTTTTATTCTAAAATCAATGCTCTTTCTACCATGTCCATCTCAACAAGTCGAGTCAGGGAAATACTTGACCTATTTCTTCCCTTTCAGTACTTCCTATCACTGTAGCCACATTGATGCACTACCCCCAAATAAGGTAATTCATTTAAAAACCACAACCCTCAAAACTGGTGGTTTGTTCTGAGCAAACACAAATATATATTGTTCACAGGTAGATTTTATTTATAAACTTTTCAGCAAGTGGTGTCAATGTAGTAAGTTTGCATATGATTATATATGCTAGAAATTCCCTAAGCAAGGACGCTTACTAATTAAAATGTTTCTCCTAAAAATCCTCTTAAAGCTAATAATTCCAACCTGCATTGGAGTTATAATGGTAGAATAGTTTTCATTTGATAGGCATTTATTGCATCCCTCAGGTTCAGAAGGAGAGATTGCTACCAAGTGAAAGAAAGAGAGAGGCATATTAGACTGATTCTCGATAGTGACATTTTTGACATAAGGCAAAAATACATAGGGAAGGGCTGGGGATGTGGCTCAAATGTGCTCGCCTGGCATGCGTGAGGCACTGGGTTCGATCCCAGCACCACATAAAAATAAAATAAAGATATTGTGTTCACCTAAAAATAAAAAAAAAATATTAAAAAAATACATAGGGAAGTTAACAAAATTTGAAATTAATACAATAAATCTACATAATCTAAGAACAGAATCTTGGTACTACAAGAAAAATGTTAAAATACTCTTAAGAAAAAAGCAATATTAAAGTTGCAAGACAGTTATAAAAAATTGCTATGCAGGAAATAATAAATATTAAATCACTCCACTCCATCATGCTTAGTTTAATTTGCAATCAGCTGATAAACATAGATTGTTATCCTTTTTAAAATTTTCTATTTTAATACATATATTGGATATTGACACTTTAATAGCTCTATTGCTAATTATTATTAGCTAATTAAAATGAATTTTGATGTGGAATGAGGAAAGAAACAGGAAAAAATTATGTGGCAACGAGAACAGGTCTTTGTTAAGAGATATAAATATCCATTTTGTTCAGAAACATAAAAAAGTAAAACCTTGAAGGTTCCATTTCCATACTTCTGTTTTCTCAGTTGCTTCTCAAATTTGATTGTGTTCATTGGTCAAAGAATTGTTATTTTTAAAATGCTGAGTCAGCCTTCGTTGCTTTCATTATCATTAGAAATGTGGCTTTGAAATAAAGACAGGGTTGACTATTTTGTGGTTGATGGATGAAGCAAAATGAAATCCTTCAACCCTACAGATGAAGGCGTCAGGCACCCTGGAAATTGGATACAGCTTAATAGCCCAAGAGAACAATTTTCAGAATAGAATCCTGATCTTTTCCCCATGGATAAATCAGCTTTACTCAGCTAAGAGCAGAGGGAATATATTTTGACTAGCAAATGTGTAGTTAGAAATTCATAGACTAAAAGAATCTTCCTGAAAGGTGGTTGGAAAAAAGATATTTTGAAAATAAGACCTTAGATAGGGTTAAAGAGACTTCGGGAAGGAAGAGTCATTCAGTTTTGTACTCTGTCCTTGTAATACCATGTTTAACCACTTTGGGACAATGGTTGAGAATATATTGTGAAAGTCCCAATTGCAAAGGGAACTTTATAAATGGATTTCCCTTACCCTCCCTTACCCTTAGCACATCAAACTGGGGAGAGAAGAGTCTGGGAAAAGCTGAGATCAATGAAGACTATCCTGGGAAATTTTATAGTGTATTGGTCTCAATTTATCAATTTGACATATTGGGTAATAATTTATTGATGACTTTCTATGTACCAGGCATGATTCTACATGCATTCTGTTTATTGTGTTACTTAATACTTACAACATCACTGTTATAGGTGTATTATTCACATCCTCATTATGCAGATGAGGAACCAAGAGAAATGATTAAGAAATTTGTCAGTTATTGAGAGCTTCTAATCCAAGCTCCCATACCCCAGAACCAGTGCTCCAAGCAGTGTATTAAATGATTATTGGCAAAGCAAGAAAAAGAACAAGCTGAAAAACAGGCAAGTCTTTGGCAGAAAGGTCACAGATCATTATTTTGCAGTTACATTGGTCTTTTTTCCTTGTTTGACCTTTATTGTCCTGATTCATGAATTTGGGACATGTATTCATTTATCTCAAATCTCTCTCTTTTTTTCCCCCCAAGAACACAATATGTCTTTATGTCCCTAGCATTTAAGTAGCATTTTGACCAAAGACTTTCCACATGCTCTTGAATTGAACCAAATTGTAGGTTGGATTTGCTCCATTGTGTACTATTTAGTAGCAAAGTGTACCCATCATGAAGGGTTTTAAGCTCAACATGGAGCTACTGTCTCTCATTGGCCTTACTTTTTCCTTTTGAAACTAAATATGCACAGAAGGGTGAATTTGTAGGTATTTTATTTAGTCTGCTTGAGTTACTAGAGCAAAATACCAAAGTCTTGGTAGCTTATAAATAACAGACATTTATTTCTCACAATTTTGAAAACTGGAAAGTCCAGGATCAAGGTGGCAGCAGATTCAATGTCTGGTGAGGACTACCAGCTTTATGGCTCATAGATGACTTCTAGTCGTGTCCTCACATGATAGATGAGTGAATGAGCTCCCTCCCAGTGGCCCATTTGATAAGAACACTAATCCTATTTTATAAGGGCAGAGCTTTTATGATCTAATGACCTCCCCCAAGAGCCGCATCTTCTAGTTGAGAATTATATTTTGACATATGAATTTTGGAAAATAGGCAAAAATTCAGACAATAGCAGTGTATCAATACTATATAGAGTGAATATAGAAGTCACGTAGGAGTCAATAGACTCTATTGTCCCTCTTCAGTTCCTGAAAATATTTAAGCACTTGGAAAACTATGTGCAAAACATCAGGATACTTTTAACTAACAATATTTGTAAGGAATTAGGTACTTATTTTGAATTTAAACTAATCAACTATATAATTGGTAATACATCAATTATTATATGATTGCTGTATGACCAGGATTGCAGTAGGCTCTGTGGAGGGATACAGATAGGCATCTGCAACATTTGTGAGTTTACTGGGGAAGCATTCATCATAAACTGCTATGATGATGTTTTTATATTTACGCAATCTAATTAATAACAAAGCCTACATTTGAATAAGTTCAAAAAACCTAAATGTTGTTAAAGAAAAGCATCTCATATTCTCAAAAATTTCATTAAAAAAAATAAGAGAGGGCTGGGGTTGTGGCTCAGTGGTAGAGCCCTTGCCTGGCACGTGTAAAGCACAAGGTTCAATTCCCAGCACCACATAAAGATGAGTAAATAAAATAAAGGTCTTGTGTGCATCTACAACTAGAAAGAAATATTAAAAAATATATATAAGAGAAAATTTCATTGGGAGATATTTTTCCCCAAATTCTTGAGTTAAACATTAAAAAAAAAATCAGCAACCAAGACTTAGCTTTTTTTTTTTGTTGTTGTTGTTGTTGCATGTAACTTATAAGAATCCTCCCTTTGAGTTTTTCCAGGGTCTGTTTTTAGGTTGTGAACTTATTGGCAGGGGCAATATTGAATTAAGTGTTCTGATTTGTATTTCATCCATTTTGAGTATGTATCAATAATGATGACGATGCTCTCTCTTTTGGAATCTGCTATCCTTCCGCTGTCTTACAGGGAGAGCTCTTCCTTGTGCCACTTTTTTTATTCTCTTTGAGAACAATGTGGTGTCTAGAGATGATAGGAACTGCAAGACACCAAGTCTCATGAGCACAGATGGAAATGGAAACAGGAAAACAGTGGGGAGTTAATTGTGTGGCATCTGGCACTGTGGTCCAGAAGAGGCAAACAAACCATCGTATTCTGCCTTTTGACAAGATCAGGTGGCCCCCCGAAGACAAAGGTGGAAAATGAAACCCCTCATTTTTATGCCCATAAATTATTTATTATTAGTAGCCCTATGGTAGGAAGGACTTCCATTACCCCACACATTTAGGATGTAAATAAAATGTAGTATCCTTTCCATATCCCTTACTGCCACATGCACAAAAAAGGGAAATTTTCCATTGTTACATTAAAATGGGGTTTACTGAGCATATACTGAATGTTCTTTTGGTTTTCTAGTGTTTGCTTTTTCTCTCTCTTTATGGTTTTGCTATCCAAGACTGCAGTCTTAATAAAAGACCAATCCCACTCTCTTCCTGAAGTCCATCCCTGACCCAGGTGGGGGTCATTTTGTCTAGACTGAAGACTGGTTTCTCCTTGGACAGGTCTAAAGAAATAGCATCAGCTGTTATATTCTCATTCATCACAAAAAACAGACTGAAGCAAAAATATCTGCTGATGCGTTTAGGAGAGACAGAGACCAAATATGATTGGGAAATTGGGAAATTGGAATCAAATAGTCTTGATACCCTAGTTAACATACAGCAAAGCACAGATTTCTGGAAATAGGACTTGTGCACCCCCTTGGGATTGTTTCAAGCCAAAGTGTTTTCTGACAAGTGAGCACGGCTGTCTTGAGAGCTAGCACGCACTGTCAGGGAGGGAAAGCTGGGAATTGGGAGATGTGAAATTTGCTGGTTCAAATATCAGCTCCATATATCAACTGTCACTCAGAATGAAAGAAGCTACTGACAAAGCAGTCCTTCTTTGGTTCTGAAGTTTGATTGATTGGTTGATCTAGTTGGAAGCAAAAATTGCTGCCAGTTGGGAGAAAGGCAAACCTGGGGTCCCAAACAAGGTTTTCGTTTAGTATCTTAAAGGGCAGTAAACTTTAAAATGAGTCCCCCCCCCCACTTACTTTCCAACTAGTGAAAAACACTTATATTGGAAACTGAGATTTGGATTTTAATCCCACATTATCATCTAATTATATAATTATGAAAATATGATACAATATCCTTGGATTTTCTTATGTCTAAAATAGATAGATTGGATTAGATCAATGTTGGGGCTCTGTTGTAAAATATAATCATTCTCTCTTTCTTTTTATTTTTTTTATTTTTGGTATTGGGGATTTAACCCAGGGGCACTTTACTACTGAGCTATATCCCCAGGCCCTCCCCAAATTTTTATTTTGAGACTTATTAGATTACTTAGGGCTTTGCTAAGTAGCTGAGGCTAGCCTCAAACTTGCAATCCTTCTGTCTCAGCCTCCCAAGCCACTGGGATTTCAGGCATGACCACCACACCCAGCTTAGTCTCATTTTTGTATCAGATTCATTACAGTGTTTGGCCATTCAGAAATAAAGATGAGGGGCTAACGGTGTAGCTCAGTGGTAGAATGCTTGCCTACTCTGTGCAAGGCCCTGGGTTCCATATCAAGCACCAAAAAACAACACCACTAACAACAATAAAACAGGGAAAACCAAAATTCAAACAAATAAAAAAGACAGATCAAATTAAAACTGGACTCCCTCATTTTGCCACCACTCTCAGATATCTGAACCAACACATTTGAGAAACAATTATTTTTTTCACTAACAATTGCATAAATAAATATTTGTTGAGTTGGAGAGAAATAATTTCTAACTTCAGCAACTTAATAGCTAAGTGCTTATGAGTTGAAAATGAAAACAAGGGAAGATGAATAGCTCCTTGCCTCCGACTTTGGCATTTGTGACTTGCTAGGTTAGCAAACTGAGCACATCCTGAGTAAAAGCAAATCAAGAGTGACTGATTAATACCTTCTATGGCAAACGGCTTCCCCACGGTTAGAAGTTTACAGTCAGCATCTATTGACACTTCA